TTGAGCCGCTACCACCGCTACTTCAGGTTTAGCCGTTGCTTTTATCTGTAGTCCGTGTAGCTTCGGTATAGCCTTTTGTTTATTTGCTTGTGAGGACTCCAAGACTCGTTTTAGCGAGCAACTCGGTGCGCCAAAGACTGCCCAGCTGTACTTCGAAAGATGCCGAGTGCAACTTGTAGCGCTGTGGGCTGCTCAAACGACCCGCTGCGCAACCCGGAGTTGCTTTTTCACAAGTTTCCAACGGACCGAAAATTGAAGAAGGTGTGGGTGAACGCTGTTCGACGGGTGAACTGTGGACTTCGGCTTTTACGCGCCCGAGGAAAAAAGAATAGAAAAACAGACGTGTACAGACACGTGCAGCCCTGCACACTTGTGTTCGGGCGCCGCAGCCCGTGCCAGAGAGCCTCAAAGCTTCATGTCTGGGACTGACCCCCAGCGCGAATGCCAGAGGGCCCCCAGTACTGTACGTCACTGGCAGCGCGGCGTAGAGCAACGCCGCTCCATCCACGGAGCCCCGATGACAATTTAGGCCTAGCGACGAGTACGGAAGACCGCACACGCGGCGACAGCCGCCGAGTACGGCACCGAACGAGTTCACTCGTTTTCCAGTCGCTAGCTTTTGGGTATACAAGCGACGAGTACGGCATAGCGCACGCACGGCGGCGGCCGCCGAGTACGGCACCATACAAGTTCACGGGTTTTCCAGTCGCTAGCTTTTGGGTATACGCACTAACTCTTGCTACATATGGTAGATGACTGCCACGTGTACAGAATTAAAACAAGATCAGCTTACCTCCTATCTTTAGATGGCTAGCGCAACAGAGGTAGGTGCCGCTCGGCCTGCACACTCGTTGAACGAGAACGATTCTGACATCACGTTCACATAGCGGCCGATTTCCAGTGTTGCCGGGGCATCGAGCGGCTAGTTTCGGTTTTGCTGGCCACGCCTCAAACAAAACTTTGAGGCGTCGATATCTTTAAAACTACGCACAATAGCGAGGAAAAAAATTACACCTTGTAATTCAGGGACGCTGATTGCACTAAAAACAGTCATAATCCCAAAATAGAAAATATGGACCGGAGTTGCCCTTTAAGCACCTCCATGAAGCTTTTCAACAAATTAAGCTTTCACTCTCACCAGGCCCTGACAACTTTCCACCGGTATTCCTGAAGCTGCTATGCCCGCAGGTATCTCATCTTTGATATGAATCTCTAGTACTTCCTGGACAATGCTGTTGTTCCAGACATCTGGAAGCGGGCCCTGGTGACGCCTATCCACAAAAGAAAAGTTAAGCCCGTGAAGGAGGCTTCCTCGTATCTGCCTGTCTCTGTCTCGTCGGTCGTGTGCAGGTCTTTAGAGCAGCTGCTAAATCTGGCTTTTTTTAGAATACGTGACTGCCAGCGACAAACTTTTCTCACCTCCGCACAGATTTAAGCCTGGTAGAAGTTGCGAGACTGCCTTGGATACCATCACGCACTACAAAATAAGGGGTGCGCTAAATGACCATACTTTCACAAACCTCATCCAACTCGGCTGCAGCAATACATTTGACACACTGAACCATCACCTTCTTCTCGAGAAGCTCGTGGGGATGGTGTACGTAACTCCTTGCCTCTTCGGAGAGCTCGTTCCTTATCGGTTGCTCTCACAAGGTGGTGCTCCACGGGTCTTCGTCTGAGGACATCATTTCCTCTGGTGTGCCACAAGGCTCTGTGCTGGGGCCCACCCTCTCCTCAGCATACGGTAATCCCTCGTTAAAATAAAGTCAACAGGATGACAGAAGAATTCGACATAAGCAGTAATTCAATAAAAACGATATAGCCAAAAAAAAAAAAGTGCCAGCATCCTTAAAGCTGGACGGGAACTCTGCAGAACACTCTGACTGTATATTTGATCAAACAAACTTTGGTTATGAACATCTCATGGCAGCTTTACCGAGTAAAAAAAATAATTAAGGGGAGTGTGCCGATAATTTCATCTGGTCATCAATTCTCGAACTGCTCCAGGTATCGCAAGAACACTGTCACCGCTGCTGCACTCCACTTTGTTTCGAAGCAGCTGTGGGGTGTTGCGCATCTCCGCAGTCATTGGAGCTTCCCGAAGTGCCTCTCCGACGTTGCTTCGTGTTTATCCTGGTTGCATGTAAGGTCAATCGCAACATCCGTGGCAGGAGCAACAACGGGAAGGTCCGCATTGACAAGCGTGAATGAATCAAAATTATTCTCGGTGGCTTTGCCAGCATGTTTTCACACACCCCTGTAGAGATCGTTGCAGCTCTGGGAATCATGTGCCGGCTCGGCAAGCCTGCTTGCAAGAGAAAATCCGATGTGTGCAAAGCAGTTGGCGATCTTTCATCTTCGTGTTGCAGACACGCTTTTTCTTGTATGAGAAGCTCCTCTAACCCGTTCAATATGCCTTGCTTGCACTGCGAAATGATTACAGTGTCAAACAGCCGATGCCGGAATGTCGAATTCTTTGACGATTCCGGACTTGGGCCAGCTACTTTCCTCACCCTCACAGATGTAAGCAACTTTCGGTAAACACTCCCTATCTCTCATACGACTCACGTGTGCATGTGGTACGCCGCAGGCGCACGCATCGGGGGTTCCCGAAGGGTTGATCTCCTTCGGGCTCCATCGCTCGCTTGACCCGATTCCGACAGGAGTCTGGCAGCTCAACCATGGGCGCCGTGAGTAGCGTCGGAAAAAGGACGCCGGTCCCGCTGCTGCCTGGCCACGTCCCCGCATCGGTGCATCAACATCAGAAGCGGCGCTTGGCACGCTCTGTCCTCGGTCGCCTGTTTACTCCGTTTTCTTGTTTGCCGTTTTCCCAGTTTGCTATTTGCCTCGGTGGACAAAAAAGAGACAACGCAATGGTCTTCATGCGCCTCCGTGTAGGCTTCCATGCTTTCGGCACTGCGGCCTTCGTAATAAGCATGGTCGGCCGTTGACACATTTAGAATAATCCGCTTAAAAATGCTTGCATTTTGGTCAGGACAATATTTAACTTTGATAAAGTGATAATTCAAAAGAAGTAATTTTGTTATATGAGGAATTACTCTATGTGAACGACATGCCGAAGACAAAAAACACCCTGTTATGCATTATGCGTACAACACAACCATTTTGACCTATTAATGGACCACCCTTCTTCTAGCTTGCACCTTCAAGACCATCTCTTGTAATTGCAGACCGGTCCACTTCCAACTACCAATGACTAAGCCACGCCAAAAGTGCCGCTATGCACTTCAGCCAAAAAAGGGTGGACCCATCATACTATTCTTTCTCTGGCACACCTGTGTAGGTGGCCAGATGTCTTCAGATTTTGGGATCACCCTCAGGCCCACTCTTGATTTTGCCCTGCACATCCCTAGCATTGTGATAAAAACACGTCCAACCCTTGGGTTTGTTGCAACGGTATTGCGCTTTCATGGTTTGGAATGCTTTTGTGCCCTGTAATCTGCTCTGCTCCCACGCCTAGAATACTGTGCATCCATCTGGAGTTCCCGTCACGTTCACCTTTCTCAGCATCCGGAGGCAGTCCAGTGTCGTGCAACATGGACTCTTCTGTCGCGTACAGATCTTCCGCTTTTCACCCATGTCATACGAGGATCAATTGAGGTGTCTTAGTTTGCCAATCACTAGGCCGCTGGCAGGTTGTTGCGTGCGTGAGACTCCCGTGCCGCCTTTTGGATGGATCGCTTCGCAACATTCAGCTTAAACTCTATCCTTCGCACCAGCAAGCCCTTCGGGTAACCCGAGCAGCTTGCGGGCGCGCACACTCCGCCACCGCCACTCGTTTTTCCTGATGCGATTTAGGCCTTTTTTTCAACACCCTTGGATGTACGCTCTCCCGTTCTGGAAGACCGGATGGACTCCGCGCTCTTTTGCCGGGTGTTTTCGCAGATAATAAAAATTATGATTATAATAATAGTAATAATAATAATAAAAATTAACATCATCATCATCATCATCATCTGGGATAGAAAGTTCCGGAAGAAAGTGACCAACATTGAGACGAGGATCGATTTTAATTTCCCGAAGAGAATGGCACAGACAATACAGTGGAAACACAGAGACAGTCTTCCCTCGGCCGGAAAGTGGATGGCGACAGCATTTTGGTACTCGGAGGGCATAATCCTCGTAGACTGGCGTCAACTGGGAAACGCCATCAACAGTGCCAAATACGGGGCAGCCCTCAGGAGATTGTGTCGCGCCATTCGGAAGAAGCAGCCAGAGAAATGGGTGGGAGAAAGGCTCTCGCAGCCCGTCAATGCCCGCACCCACACAAACTTGTAAACAATTGAGGCCGTCACCATGTTGGAATTTTCATTTCTGCCCCACCCACCATACTTACCTGACCGTCACTTGTTCGGCTCCATGAAAAAACTCTTGCGAGGGCTTTATTTTATGGACATTGGTGAACTGGAAGCAGCTGCCTAGGTGTGGGTGCGAAGCGCTCCCAAAGACTGGTTCTGGCAGGAAATGAAAAGGCTGCCACACCATTGAAAGGTGTGCATTCATTTCCAAAGGGACTGCATCGAAAAGGTTGATGCGCATACCGACTAATGAATGCAGAAGCATTCAATAGTCGTTATGTGCAGAAGAAAAAAAGAATTGTAAATCAATATCGTATGCTTCTCATACATCGCTTTCAAGGGTACTCCTGTCACGAAAATATGATGCGAAGCTGACTGAATTGGCTTCCACAGCAGTGTACACGAATTGTTAGATGAAATTGTAATTGGCGACAGGTTAAGAACCCAATAGCTGCTTTGCCTTCAGCACGTGGTCGTTGCCTTCTGCCGGGCTTTGACTCCACGCGCAATGAAGTGCTATCGAAGGCAGAAAGCTAGTGCTTGATGCAGTTCATCTACTGTTTTCTTAACCTGTCACCAGCTATAGAGAGAGTCTTGCAAAGGATTGCAAACTCGTAAAGCAGCAGGGAGGGGTGCAGCGCTGCGGAAGTGCCCAAAAGGTTTGCTGTCGGCGTGTTGCAGGCAACTTCAGCTTTGGCTGCCTACAGAAGTTCCAGAGCCACACGATAGTGGACTTCATAGAGAATGCGGTGGAACACTCGAGGAGCGGGCGCTACCTCTTCTTCCTGCACCGGAGGCCCATCCTGGGGCCCATGCGGGTGCAGCTGCTTCACCCTGTCTCCAGGTTCAAGCAGGTCCAGTCACTGCAGCACCTCTGCAGGTTGGTCTGACACCGCCGGTCACCTCACATTCGTTCAGTCACTCTTGTTTGCTGACCGAGCCCTTTGAATTAAGCCCGGTGCGTACATTACCATTGGTTGCATTCACTGCAACTTGAATGACTGACGGTCGCTCGGAAAACTGTACGCCGCGTGGTAAGCAATCTAAGGAATAGCGGTGAGAAGCTATCATGAGTCGAGGAGTTCACTCATATTCTTCACCTGAGATTGGTCGGTTGCAAGTGACGTGGCCTTGACTCTCTGAGCCGGTTGTTATGTGCCATATGAGGCATACCTGTCTCTGCAACATTGTTGTCTGTATTTTTCTAGATGCTGTGAACACCACTAAATCAAATGTGCGAGCCGGCCTTTAGACTTTTAGCTTTAATCGAATCAGGCGAGAACTGGTTCACTTACGCAGAGTCGGTCAAGAACATATCTCATTCTGGGCACCAGGTAGGGGCGGGACTGTGCTCAGTTTGTTTTTGGTTATTCTGCTTTCTTTTGCCTGGATCTTTGAATTTGGGCATTTTCTGCCATTATTTAACTTCTGTTTCCAACTATATTGCTATGTTATTTATGGTGGTTTTTGGGCTATTGGGAAAGTTCAGAGTCTCTGGTTGTAGTATGCCACTGTAGAATACGCGCTAATTAACCCTTTAATGCTCTATCTACAATATTTACATTAGATGTGCAGAATCTGTGAATGGTAGGTGCTATCACCGAGAGCCGTCATGTCTCGCCGATCATTTTGTCTCTCGAGCTCCTTGGCTGGTTCCCTGTGCATCCTGGGCGTGCCTATCTTTTTTGTCTTCTATCCGCACCATGCAAATGGGTCACTACACTAGCTCACCCCTAGAAAAGGAGCGAAGTCCAGACAAGCTTTAAGGTGGTGTGTGGGTTTGGTGGTGAAAGAGTTTGAAGTCGGAGAGTTTTTGGTTTGTTTGTTGACGTGATGAGTGGTTTTAGTGCACATTGTTTATAGGTGTTACAAGTGTAAACCGAACTCGCTTTCAACCGGCCAACGTTCGTCGGCGGCAAGAAGCGGAAGCATGACAGACGTAGTTCGGTTCCAACACAACACTAACTGAGGGAGCCTGGTGGCCCCCTGTTTAATGTAGAGCGCCGCACTTCCAGTCATCGTCACACTAGGCCACCAGGGGACCTTGTGGCGCTACATGCTGGCCAGGAATATAACAGTCCTCCCCTCTAAAGTACAAAGACAAGCTACAGCTAAGGGGAGTACCGCTGCACGGCCCTCCTAGTCCTTGTGCTACGGCGCGGCTGGGGTGGACTGATGCTTGTAGGATGAGGAGTTACTTCAGGGCTTGCGGCACTGTCGCTTGCACCCACGCTTGTTTCGCCTGGCTCGAACAGAGCGCCGGGAGCACCAGCAGATTGACTCTTATTTAATGCTTGCGGTTCACAATGCGCTGCAGCACCAAAAGGTTGACAAGTCTCTGCCTCGGCCGTAGCTGCTGTAGTGGCGTCGGTCGGTCTGGAACGCAGGTGATCACCGTGCCGATGCCACAGTGTACCATCTTCAAGGCGGACTTGCGCTGAAGACTGACTTGTGGCGCCGACGACTCGAGCAGGCACCCAGGGCATACCCTGGCGGAAGTTCCTGGCGAACACGTTTCTCTTCAGGGTTGAGCGGCGCTCCCTGTCGGCAGCCTTTATCAGTAGTAAAGTTTCTGTTTTAGCTGCTCACAGACTCCTCGTCAACGCGGGCACGCGAGTTGAAACGGAAGCGCTGGACGACGGCGGAAGGCTTCGGGCAGTAATGGTTGCCGAGGATGGAAAGAACCTCATTCAGAGACTTACTTTGAGGCTTGACAGGCTTGACCAGGTCCCGAAGAAGAGCGTAAGTCTTCGCACCGCAGCAACTGAAGAAGATGGCTTGCCTCTTTGCCGCGACGACATCGTTCGCCGAAAAGAAAGCTTCTAGACGCTCGACGTAGGACGGCCAGTCCTCTCCTCCCCCTTCAAAAGGTTCAATTCTGCCGAAGGTTGGCATGACAAGCAGAACTAGCCCGAGCAGAATGATTCGCAAACTTATCATTCGCAAGGAACCGTGACGAACTTTGTACGAAGAACAAAACTTTTCCCTCGTCGCCACTGTTACAAGTGTAAACCGAACTCGCTTCCAACCGGCCAACGTTCGTCGGCGGCAAGAAGCGAAAGCATGACAGACGTAGTTAGGTTCCAACACAACACTAACTGAGGGAGCCGGGTGGCCCCCTGTTTAATATAGAGCGCCGCACTTCCAGTCATCGTCACACTAGGCCACCAAGGACCATGTGGCGCTACATGCTGGCCAGGAATATAACAATAGGCTGCTTTGGTATCGAGATAGGCAGGTTTAAGTCGATCCAATTTGACATTTTCTTCTCAATTGCTAATTTGCAGTGTGAAGTGCTTAAGATGTCGTCGGAGTACCTTAAAGGGGCCGTCATAAGGGGTTGTAACGGTTTTTGCACTGCGTCATGTTGTACCAGAAAGGGCAAACAAGTATGGAGGTCTGAGCTTATAAACACTTTAGCGGGGGCTTGCTGGTGGTCTAGCGAAGGTATGAGTTGTTGCATTGTTGTACGAAGGCGAGATGCATAATACATAATGTCTGGTATTTCAAGCTGTTCGGAGGGGTGAATGAACTCACCTGGCAGTCGAAGAGGCATGCCGTATACGAGCTCAGCAGCACTGCATCCAATATCGGCTTTGAAAGCGGCTCTAATGACCAGCAGGACAAGAGGCAAAATTTCAGTCCAGCCTAAAGCCGACCCACTAGCCTTTAGAGATGCTTTTAGCTGGCGATGAAATCTCTCCACTAGTCCTTTGGATGTAGGATGATAGGCAGTGGTACTGATGTGAGTGACGCCTAGTAGCTGAAACAACTTTCTGAAAAGAGCTGACTAAAATTGTCGCCCTCAATCTGTCGTCCCCATTGCTGGTACCCCGAACCGGCTGATCCAAATCTGTACAAATGCGTGTGAGACTGTTTTTGCAGAGATGTTTTTGATTGGTATGGCCTCTGGCCTTCAAGTAAAACAGTCTATGCAGGTTAGAAGGTACCGCTGAGCGCTGACCATGGCATAATAGTGGTAGGGGACCCACTATGTCCAAGTGAACTTTCTGAAAACGGGCGGTAGGTGGATTTACACCCCTGTCAGACGGGCTCCTAAAAGGACCTTTACACCAAAGGACCTTTAGTGTAAATGTCATTTAGGCAGTGCCACACGGCAACTCAAATGGCATTTAGCATAAAGCTCCTTTTCGTGAACCTGAGTTCCCGCAACTAATTTACGGCTGCTAAAGGCCTACTCTCGTTAGCAGCGGTCTACACTAGAGAAGCGAATTGAAATAAAAGATTGTACCGGTATCTAAAATGAATGCGTTTGCATTTTTATTATTGAAAAAGAGCATGTTTCATGTATATTCTGCTCAAACCTTGCTCTACTAAGAGTTTTCTGTACTCACGGCCCCAGCTGTCTAGTAGGCCTCGTCGTCGCCTGCTCGTGTCGTCCGCTTCGGTACTTCGGTTTTCCTCCTCTCGATCTTCCTTACAACCATAATTATCTAGCTTTTATTTCTCTACTTATATTACTATTCATACTGTATATATTTAATGTTTTTTGTACATATATATTTCTGTATCTCACTCTCGCGCCGCGTGATACTTTGAAAGACGGTGCAGCATCCACGAGTAGGAAGGGGTCGCCGCGCTTCCTTCGGAGCGTTGAGGCGACCTGGGCGCTGATACGACTTTAACAGGATCGTCTGGAGAACCTCCGATGCGTGCGATGAACCTCAAGCGCGAGCACGAGGCAAAAGCGTAGCAGAAGCACGAGAAGGAGCGGGAGCACGGAGCAACGTTAGGACTGAAGCGGGCTGCGGGAGGCGCCCAGGGTTGCCGCTAATCGCCTAAAAACCACTTTGCTTGGGCTTGAAGTGGACTTCGTTGTAATCACTCGACTAAACACCTCATTTTGTCTTTTTTAATATATTGTGTGCTTCAGAAAAACTTTAAGAAATTATTTATATCGCCAGAATATTACTTTTCTGGCGTAAACATGATTTATGCGTTTGAACCGAGCTACGAGACTTTAGTCGCTGTAAACATTGTCTAAATGAAATTTACTTGAGCTGTCTGGCACGGCAGAACGTAAAGGTAATTTGAAAATCCTAAAAACCTTTGGCGTAAAGGTCTTTTTAGGTGCTTGTCTGACAGAGGTATTAAATTACCTTAAGGTGTCACAGTATGGCGTTGTATCGTGACTTTTTGGCAAGAGAGACATTCTTTAGCCCATTTGCGCACGTCGGTGTTGATGCCCGGCCAGACCCCCTTGAAGTGAGGAGTTTCTGCGCAGCACGTATTCCTGGATGGGATAAGGAATGCAAGGCATCAAAAACAGCTCTACATAGTCAAGGAGGTATCTAAGGACGAGGAGAACCAGTGGAAATATCGCAGACAGTTGACGTAGTTCCGTTTACTCCATCCTGTAGGATGAGAGATGAGGGTCCCGACAGTAGCGTTCTAAGTTTCTCGTCATCTTGCTGGGCAGCAGAAAACTTGCAAAAAAATCAATACAGTAAACTTTTGTTAATTCGACCTCGACAGGACCTCGAAAATTGGTTGAATTATCCGAATGATCGAATTAAAAAAAGGACAGAAAAACGGTTAAAATTGAACTTCCTTTCATTGTCCACAGTACTCACGGATGGTCTGCTGCCGCCTGCGCTTAAAACGCATGTCTAAAAGCATGCTCCGGAAAACAGCGTAACTAATCGTCACAACCACAGAAAATCGCGCACTAAAAAAAAAAAAAAAAAAGAAGAAAAACGAAAAACGTAAGTTTTATGAGCAGACTTTTACGCCGGGCAGCCAGACCGTCGCCAACAAAGAAAAATAACAAAAAAAAAGAGAAAAGAGAACTTGCATTCTCTGGCGTGCAAGATGGACCGCACCAACACCACATAGAGCTAAGGCCACGGCGCTCCGAGC